TTTAAGCTTTGAAACTCCCAAAACTTTAACAATAGACTAATTAAATGTTATCGATCTGCTGAAAAATTCTAAATTGAGATATAAGATTAAGCGGTGACAGAAATAGTAGTTGCATAGAGATGGTAGAATTGTCTGAGGTGGTCAATGACTCAAAGGATGGTGGATGAGACCTAAAATGTATGGAGAGGGACTAGGGAACTTGAGTTTTAGTTTTCCTTAAAAGACTTAATAACTCTATGATCTCTAAACCATGCAAAAGTACTCTATATTCTTATTATTAGTCTTCTTCTTTTGCTTAGTTTCTTTCTCAATTTTTATTGTGAACAAGATACAAACTAGCTATTTACTCAGGAAAAAAAAATTACAAACTAGCTAGAACCCTATCAGTCCATTGGCCTAGTAGGCTGGTAGCCCCTTGTATATTGGTAGTGGAGCATTTATGTACTTTTTTATTGCAAGGGAACTTTTCATACTAATAAGATTTCATCTTCGTTCCTAATTTTGTACGGAGTATATTTTAATTACTACTCAATACGGAGTACAAAACTTCATTTAACAAACAGAATATCTCACTCGACTCGCTGGGGAAGATTATCTCTAGTTTTAACCCAGTTGTTTGATATATCTAGTTTTTTGGAATCAAAACTAATATTTTTGTAAATTTTATTTTATTATTATTAGAATTATGTAGTCAAATAAATGAATTGCCATGATTTAACAATGCATACCAATGGTTCATATTTAAATATTATAATGGCTACAAAATTATTGTAGCCATTGCAAAATTGTCCCTCCTTTTTTATTGCAAGGGAAATTTTCATACTAATAAGATTTCATCTTCCTAATTTGGTACCGAGTATATTTAATTACTACTTAATACAACTATTAAAATGTTAAAAGAAAATTGGAAAAAATATATGTACACCTAGAATCCTATATGCACGGTGCATTTATCTAGGGATGTCAATGGTGCAGGGCGGGGCAGATGTTGGACTTCCCACCCCCACCTAAAATTTTCATACCCATCCCCATCCCCATCCCCGCGACGGGTCTAAAATCCATCCCCATCCCCATCCATGCTCCGACGGGTACAACTCCAAAACTATCCCCGCCCCACCCCACACTTGGATATCCACCCCCACCTAATCCCTATATAAGACCCACCTAATCCTCGCCTCCCAAATACACAATCCTTCATAATTAATAAAGATTATAAAAAGAAAAAAATTATTGTTAATATTACACATTTTTTTATTTATAATATAAGTGTATTAAAAAGTATTATATTTACTATTTTATTTTACATAATTTTTTTAATAAAATAGTTTAAAAGTATATAATTTTGTTTTTAAAATATATGGATGCGGGGATGGGGCGGGTACGAAGTGGGGCGGGACGGGGATGGGGCGGGTACAACCTAAAATCCACCCCCGCCCCATCACCTATGGCGGGTATGGTTTTTATCCCCATCCCCGCCCTCATCACCCGTCAAACCAAGACCCATCCCCGTCCCATTTGGTTCGGGGATGATGGGGCGGGTCTCCTATTTGACCCGCCCCACTGACATCCCTACATTTATCCAATAGTACTTTTTACTCATTTAAAGATTAAATGATAATCATCAAAATGAGGAAATAACACTCTTCGGTACAACGTGCACCTGAGTGGCTGATTGTATATAAGAATTTCTATGAAAAAAGGTACTTGTATATATAAAGTTCCGGAGTAAACAAACATTGACATAATTTGTTACTGGCTATCAAATACGGTTCAAGTTGAGAGTGAGGGATATCTCAAGTGGTTAGAGTTTTCCTCTCGATTTAGGTGATTTTGGAATCGATTCTCATCCCCACCCTTGTGGCTCTCTAAAAAAAAAAAAAAAAAAAAAAAAAAAAAAAAAAAAATAGGGCTCAAGTGAATTAGTGATAACTAATTAATTTCATGTGGCTTCATTGTGATTTTCACTCAGTGGCGTCAGTGCATTCGTTGACACTAAAAACCGCCATTTGGTGCTAATCATCAGCAAAATCTTGATTAAAATTTACAGTCAAAGTTTTCAATACTAAATTATACAAATATTCTCAGTTGAAATAATAAAACATAAAATACTTGTTCGTATCATTGCAGTGAATCTGGCGTGCCCTTTTCACTTAATTCATGCCATATTTGTTTTTAAGAGAGAAATTAGGTTGGTGGGCCTTCCAACTAATTCCACTCCCAAACTTTTTGGGCTATTTAACATGCTCATGATGGGCTTTTTGTTGACTGAAGCATAAAAAAGTCAACATCTAAAATGTAGTGCGTCACCCTATTTGTGTCTGTTGTTATGATTTACCTGCATTAAGTCTTGCTTTACTGCTAAAACGACTTATATACTTGTTTTCTTTTGGTAATTAATGTTCAATGGATGTAGAATTTTGGAATTTAGAATTGTCAAGTAGAACCGTTAGTCGCCCATCCTTAACCTACCTTTGTATTAAGAGGTTAAGAGTTTAATTCTTATACGAGTGTATAGAATGTGGAGTAGTGCAGGAGCTACTACAATTATATTCTACCTTCTTCAATTTGTTATTGAATATGGTCATTTTAGAGTGCTTTTATTCGTGGTTTATAATGTAAGAAATTGAATATTTTTTCTATGTATATGTGCCATTTTACTCCAAGATCGACAAGATGCAATATCTATAATCTATTGAAAAACCAAATTTAAAGTAAATACTTAAAGCAAATAGATGACAAATCATATTGGCAACAATATCCTTATGACTTTTTCAGTTATTTTACAAAACTCCACCATCATGCTAAATTCAAGGCCTACAGTACGTATTTTGCATAGTTCTTGTTACGCACATATAAGATTTTGGTCCTAATTGAGGTAGTTTTGGGACAAGGAGAATCGAAATTTATATCAAACAAATTTAAGAATAAGAAGACATGTCAAATTTATATCGAGTTATTTTCTTAGCTATCAATCACATGTACAATTAAGAGATCGATCCCTAGACGATAGCCTTTGTCTTTAGAATTTCTCTGTCTGCTAGTAACTAGATCAATCAATGCCTTTCTAACTTTCAACGGAGCATTTGCTAATATAATCAAATCACAACTTATTAAAAAAAACCAAAGAACACAAAGAAATGTACTAAGGAGGAAAATAAAAGCAGTCAAATGCTAGTAACCCTAGGAGTCACTCTATTAGTCTTTGCATTTTCTTCCACTCGTGTGAAGAATCCATTAAAGCTTCCCATCAAAATATTTCACTTAATTCCCATGCCTAAGAAAAAGATGTTGTCTTTGCGAAGGAGTTTGTGTGCTTCATGTGGGTCTATAGCCATTAGTTAGCTAGGACATTATTTGATGTGACAATGTCAAGTTTTTATAAGGAGGTGTCATGATTTGGGGACCATGAGAATTCTATAAAACTAAAGATTTTTGCCTCTTTTAATCTTTTTATTATCCCACTTGTAATTTTAATTGCATGCATAAAATACATTATTAACTTTTTGTGTATTGCTTTCAATTCCAAGTTTCTAACTTTAACAAAGCCAATTGCTACACATATGTTTTAAAATAAGCTTTGACTAGCAGTTAGCGGTTAAAATTAGCAGTTTGAATTAGCTGATTTGATTAATTGCTTGCATTAACTATTTATGTAAAAAAAGTGTTGTAAATAACTAATTGTTGTTTGTTGTGTTTATAGGTTAAAATAACCAATAAGAATATTGACATAAATATGTAAATTGGGAATTTTCTAGAATTCTTGTAGTGTAGTTAAACTTGAAAGTAATCATTTCATCACTAAGTTCACAAGGTTCTCTTCAAAAAAGTTTCTCAATCAACTTTTACAAAAACCCTCAGACTTAAACCTCTATTTCATTTTTCTCCCAACCAAATACTTCCATTAGAAGTTTGAGTTGAGAACATTGAAATCTTAACCCCGTTCTTAAATAGTGCATTGTACTACACTTCAAAAATTGCAAAACTGCTATTTTCTTGCATTTTTAACAGAAAAAAGAGCTCATAAATTTATTATACATACTCGTACTATATTGTAGCCAATTTTAGAGATTTTGTGTGCAAATTATAAAAAATGTTTCATTTGTTCCTTATTTAAAAGTTAAAGTAAAGATGTCTATAAATCTATAATTTTTTTTTTGATGCAACTATAAGTCTATAATTTCCTCTAATGTTTCAAAGTATGAACTTAAATGAAGATGATGACAATGATAATAAATTAATAATACTAGTTTTAGTAGTAAAAACAAGCAAAAATTTTTTTTGAAGAGAACAAACAATTAATATTATTCAAAACAATGGAGTTCTATATTTTATATCTATACTAATATATTAAAAGGCTTTTCCCTTTTTTATTGCCCCACGTCACCTTCCCAACATTTCCTAATCACATATCATCACTCAAACAATCTTAATCATTACGTTACGTCACCCTAGAAACCAATATTATTTCGTATAATACGCCACATCACCCAACAACCAACATTACTTCATATAAAAAATAAGGATTAAGAGATTCGAACCCTCAACCTTTTATAACAAAGATGACTAATTTAACCATTTAAGCCAATTATTAATTATGTTATTAATATGTAAAAAAAATTATATAAATGCAAACCACAAGGTTTAATTATTTCAAAAAAAAGATGCTCAAAGAATAACTCAATTTTGGTTTGACAATGACAATTTCAATTTTAAAAATCCTTTGATAAAATTTATCAATTACACGTTTACAACAGTATTAACCTGGGACAACGCCCAGGCTACTCATTAGTTTCTAAGTTTAAAAAAAGACTAAGAGAAGTGTGAAAGTTTGTTTAGCACAAACTTGTTCAAAGTATGTCAACGTCCTAATTACCAAAGGCAACATTTAGCAATCCTCTTATTTTTGTCCACCTACCCAATGAAATTAGCCATATGGGCTGGGCCAGATCTTTAAGGCCCTACACTGGAAATGACCGGCCCATATTCGAGAGAGCGCTAAGAACACTGAACACTTAACAGTTCACACTACACTATCAATGGCGGCAACAATTTTCCCGCGATAATCTCTTCAGATTAATCGTCTTCTTCATCTTTAACGCCGCTTGTTCTTACGATTTCTCTGTTAGTTTTCTTCTGCTCTTTAAATCTGTATTTTAATTTTATGTATTGCTAAACCCTAATTTTTGTAATAGAAGTAGTGTTTTTTTAGGGTTTCGTAATGTAATTGTTTAAAATTCGTGGTTGTACTTTTAAATTTTTCGGTATATTTGAAGTAGAGTTTAAATTTTTGTTAGGTTAACTTACAAAATCTATTGTATGTGTACTTTGATGAGATTGATTGGGATTAATAGGTGTGGAGAGAAGGAAATCAAATTTGATGGATTTTGGAATTGTTAGTGGAATTTAAAGTTAATTTTTAAGCTTTGGGATAAGAATTATTGTACAAGTAATTGAATTGGGGAAATAAAATAGTGAAAGGTGATCCTAGTTTCGCGTTGGTCGTTGATTAAAAACTGCATTTGTGTTATTTGGAATAATGTTATTTGTTGCTCCACTTTAGAAAGTTGTATTAAGGGATTTAGGCAAGATAAAGACTTGGAATTTGATGTGGTTGTTAAAGGAATGGGATAGGATAGTTTGGATCGAGTTTGTGTATGAGGGCTACTTGAGGTGATTTGATTTAGGACTTGGGAGTTTTACAAAAGAGTTTCTTATTCAGTTAATAGATCATTGAGAAGAATGAGAACTAGGCTACTACTTTATGGATTAGTGAGAGGTAGAAAATGATGCTATATTTTATGACTAGAAGGTAAAAACGTGGCTTTTGAGTTGCCGTATTTGTCTTTCTCCCTTAGTGTAGTATTAAAGAAGTGTTTGGGATTTGTTGGTATAATTGAGCAAAAACTCATTTACGTTGTAGTTTAGTTGGTTGCTACTTGTCTTGTTGATGACGTTGTAATAAAGGGAAGATTTAGATAATGAAGTGGAAGCAATTTTATAGGGACACCCAACTGAAAGAAGATCAGTTCGGGTTAGGTGGTTGAGGACTTGTGTAACATTCTTTATGTGAGCATTCTTGTCACTTTATTATTTAACTATGTCAGTTTTTTTAGTTTGATTTAGGTTGGCAGGACATGAGGATGAGTTTGATTCATTATTGTGGATGTTATCATGTTATAGAAAGATGGATTGTATAATTTTTTCTTTTTGGTTTTGTAAAATGCACAAAAGGGTGATGAAAAAGGGAAATCGTGTGATGATTAATTGAGCTCAGCTTCTCATTTTTCATCTTTTGAGATATTTTTCAGAATCAGGTGGTTTCTCTCTTCACTAGAATAGCTAAGAATAGAAGATCTTATGTTTGACTTCCTGGATTGTTGAGGGGTTAAGTAATTTTAAGGTCTAGGTAAGTAAGTTAATTGTTCAGGTTTATGAGAGGAAAGGACTTGAAATATTATTTTGAATATTAGTTTATGCAAGAGTTCTTTTGCTTTGTTACATTATCTTCAAAAGAAGGGAAAGGAGTTGAGTAAGGCGTAATCTACACTTGATGGATCTCTTGGGATATGACAATTATGCGGGGAAAAGAGTAAAAGTGTCACAATCTTGCATTCATAGATTATAGTTATTGTTAGGAGTTAATTTATCAGAAGTATAATTTAAAGAAGTTGGGTTTCATATGAAAGTAATGGAATGGTTATCTTTCTCTTGATTATTATTTTTTTAATTTTTAATTTTTAATTTACTTTCTGCCAATTATTTTCCATTCTAGTTACCACCAACAATATTTTCAACACTGGTAATTGTCGAAAGTCTAATCTATACATCCATTGTTGGACCTCCTCCGTGAGTAATGCCTCATGTGAGGTTCTATAGCTGCCACAGTCAAATGCTCAGAGTTGAAAATAGCAGCTCTTTTCCATTCTCTTTTCTACAATTATGGATTGACACTTTCGTCGTCTCCTTTTACTCTAATTCGTTGGCAGTGATGTGCCAAACAAATACCACCTTTACCAGATTGGCGATATTGACAATTTAACATATCTTTGGATGGTCTGTGTTTTATGGCATTGTTTTGAGACTGATTTAGAAGTAGGTGATGATGTCAGTTAGCGAATAGGCAATGATAGTTGATGGTGAACTAGTAGTTCTCTCTGTCCTCTCCTTTTTTGTTGTCAGCGGTAGGATGTTAGTGAAGATTGATGACAATGGGAGTAAATTGTTTAGCTATGGCAAAGACGTGATGGTTGTTTGTGGACAATAGATCATAAACTTGGTTTTCATTTCCCCTTTTGCTTTTCCATGGGGAATTAGGTGAATCTAGCATCCTTTGGTAGGGGTTAGTAAAACTATCAGTAAATCTAACAAAATGTAAGGGAAATTTTTATCTAATTGCTTCTAAGTCACTAAAAATGGCTCCTAAAAGGATCAAGGGTCTTCATTTTAGTGTTAATTTGACAAATTGCTAATTTACTTCGATTTTGGTATCTCAAGATTAATTTTTTTTTTTTTCTTTTGTACAAATTTTGGAAATTTTTTGCAATTGTATCATTGTATGTTGGTTGTAGTTGGGACCACTGCCAGGAATAGGATTCTCAAGTTAGGAGAAAATATATGTTTGTCTTCATGAGAAACTTAGAATGTAAATCAAGTGGCAAGATTGTAATTAAAATGCGTAATGCAGAACTATTTTATGGTAAAACCGCTATTGATGTTAGCGGTTATTAGGTAAACCGCTAATTGGTGTAGTGGTTTTATCCAAAATTTTACAAATTTGCTCCTTGATTTGCACATTTCGTTGATCAAGGAGGTATACTAGGGCTAGGTTAACAAGTTTTCCTCTAAAGATTATGGATTGTTTGTTTCAAAAGTTCAAGTATGGATATCTGAGAATCAGTTGTTACTTCCTTAGGCCCTTCGTATGCTGTTTTGGTTTTTTGGATCTTTGATTTTTGGCAGTTATGGGAATTAAAGAAGACTTTGGTCAGGTGAGCGAAATCTGGTATTTAATATTTATGACAAATTTTAGTGTGAATTTCTTGTTGGAATGCATAGATTATGTTAGGTTAGGGTTCCTTACTTTGAAGCTTATCTATGAGTTTCAAGTGTCAAGAAGAGAATGGGAAATTTTGCTTTAAACTTGGTAAATGGACATATCATCGTGAACTAAGGACAGAGTACGACTAAGAAAAGTGTAAATATATTTCCATGAGAGACAGTGCAGGATCTGGTTCCTGCTTAGAGCCCTAGATTTGAGATATTGTGGTTTTCTTTGAAGTGAGATTTGTTTGTGTGGGTGACATCTTCGGGAAAAGTTGTGGAAGTATGTTGTTGGCTTATTGTTGGATGTAGGAAAGGAGTTTTGAGATGTAATCATGTATAATCTAATTTGAAAAGGAATAGTGATTGAAATAAACAGAATTGGAATGGGTGATTAGTTTTTGATTCTCTTGCGAGAGATAATTAAGCTGAACTGACTCCTATTCCTCTTGCCCCTCTCGTTTATTTAAAACAATGACAGTACTATTATGGGTCATTGCTAGAGATGTTTTGGGGAAATATTGGTGAAGTTGGAAATAGATATTTTAAGGTTGTGGCTTGGCATCTCATGGTTTTTTTAAAGGTTGTTGGAACAGAATCAAAGAATCCGCACCTTCGCTAATGTATGTATTGGTACACTGAGAAGAGGGATGTGTACCTCTAGCGACAACAAGAATGGAACCATAGGCTCCTATGCTGAGAGCAATTCAGGGTATAGGTCTAACCACCTCATACATGTGAATACTTTTATTACTAAATGTAAGACTTACACTTGTTCGAGAGGAAGTGGGTAAGGTAGTAAGATATATGCTTGATTGTTATGCGTTTTAGGCATTTTTCCTGGCAGCAAGTTATAGATTACTAGTCACTGCTATAGGAAGATGAATTAAGTGTCTATGCCATTCTAAATTCCAAACATTTTATCAACTTAACTCTTTGATGTGGATCATATATATTCATTCTTATAAAAACTGGAAGTTTCTGGATAGTCGAGTGGAGAATGTTGCTTTGCTATTGCTTTTAATGGATGGTGCAAATGGAATTTTTCTTTGTAGTAACTGAACTTATGAATGGATCTGTTAAAGCGGTAATAAGACTCACTAGATGGTGATGCTACCTATGTACATCAATAGTAGTAGTTTTGTCACTATAGAATTGTATCTTTTCTTTTTCCATATACGAATACCTTTTCGCCAGTTTTATTAGATTCATTTCCTAGCTAAATATGAGAGTGGATGTGAGTCATGTATGTGACCATTGTATCTCTATGTCGTCCTTTCGGGAGTCTTAGTGACTTAGTGTTTGAATTTACCGTCCTTTTTTTGCTCGTGATTTCCTAATATAATGCTTTGTATGACTTTCCTTTAACTGAAATAGGCTTGAGATAAAATTATTATGTTATTGTTCACTAGAAAGCTCTTTAGGGAGAAATGATTAATGAGAATCAAAATTTCTTACCCATTTTTGCCTTGCTTTAATACTTGTGTGTGTCAGACCAATATATATATCGCGTTGCCACTTGATTTAAAGCATCCCAAATTCATTAAAGACCCTCAAACATGATTTCCTCATCATCGACCCTGCTTGTGCCTGGCCGTGCACATATGCAACCCAATCAAGCTTGTCCCTCGCTCTTGTTGCCAGCCTGTGAGAGTGTTCCTTTCTCCAATCAAATGCTTACTTGTACTACTGCGTGCACAGAATTCTATTTCTGCACAAGGCTTGCACTGTTGCAGGCACATAGGCAGGAGTGCGTTGCACAATCTAGTGTCAAAACACCATACTGTGACTCTTAGTCATTTTATTCTTTGACTTGTCGAACAAATAGTTGTTTTATAAAGTGAATTTTGTTTTATTTATATTTGTTTTTATGGATTTATTACTTTGTTTACAAAAAGCAAACTCTTCACAGTTAATGTATTCAAATTAAGAGGGGATATGTAATAATGGAAATATAGGGGTGATAAATGAAGCAACTTCAAGTTTCATCATGTCAGATCTCTTATAGAATTATAGGTACAAGTACACTACTACAAAATATGTTCTTTCTCAATGGTGTAACCTTGACGCTTAGAAAAAGCTACAGCCTCAAATTAGAGTCCGTGTTTTTATATATTGTCTACACACTGGCGATACTGCATCAAGATATTGGTACGTAGCAATATGCTCTGCATATGGCCTTACTTAGCAGCTCATGTTTTCAAACTTAGAGTAAACAAACCGCCCCACTGCAAGTACACAGAAATCAGCGCCGCCCAAATGTTGTTTCTAAGAATAAAATTTCCTCCCAGTTAGCTTTCTAATGCTACAATGCTTGAAGGGTTTTCTCTAAGTATCCAATAGTTCCTGATCTCCAATAATAGTACATTTATTATGTGGTTAGGCCATGTACTTATGATAATGCACTGTGTTAATCTTTCTGGTTATTTCAAAAAGGCACCTTTTGCTGAAGTGATTTTTGCTCATTTACAAGTGTTGATCATATTCACCAAACAAGCTGCTCCCATCTCATGAACTGATGGCTTCCTTGGTCTTTTGCACTAGTAAAAACTTAACCTCAAGTCTTCTTCTTGCTTAATGGCTTTCCTTGCTCCTGAGGCTCAATCTGTTTCGAAATTTAAAAATTCATTTAAAGCTAAATGCTAACATGTGCTGACCAAAATTAATTATCTGATTGTCTTGTAATACATGTAAATCCTTTTCCTTAAGTGGGTTTTCTTTGGCATAATTGCTTCTGTCACTTGATTATAGTCCCTAGTTATGTTCAATCTTGGTGAACTCCTCTTATTGTTACTTAATTATTTGATATGTTTTTGAATCAATCAGTTTTAATAGAGTGACTTTCAATCTGGCCAGGAGGTACCTTCAAAATGTCTATTATGCCCCCTTTGTTTCCAACTAATTTACACGTTTGCTTTTGTCACTAAGTTGATTTGAGAGAGCCAAGGGTGACTGAAATGAAAGTTGTGGATATACTTGAACCTGTAAATTGTTGGTGATACGAGTCCATTTGCCTTTGTATATAGATTTCTAATCAGGCCTAGTAGTAGCAGAAATGGGATAAATCTGTTCTTATATTGCACAATATTTGATGTGTATTCCTCTTTCATGTAATAGGGAATCTTGCCATGGTGATTGATGATCCTATGTATGATAGTTCAGGCAATGTTCTTTTCCCATGATGTGGTGGAATGAAGCCATCAGTTCAAGCCTGATTATCTCTGATCCCAATGTGAGCTTTTCTAAGCCCTTGTGAACTTTAAGTGGGAAAAACTAAGAAGATTGGTATTGGCTTAACTTGTATATCCTTGTCCTCTTTTTTTTGGAATTTCTCTTTGTTGTTCTACATACTTTATGTTGAATGTTGTTCTCACTTCTACCTTTACTGTGATATTATTCTTGCTCAACGCACATTGTTCACGAAGATTATTGTTGTTTTCAATGATTGATTGTGCTCGTGCTTTTGCTTTTTAAAGATGATTTATTGTGTTCTTGGTTTTTTCTTTTTTTTTTTTTTTTTCTCTTGGAGTTGAATGAAATTGATGCGGAATAATATATTTTTGTAGTTGCTTGTCAATAAGGTTTTTTGAAGGTATCGTATATCTCGTTCCTTGGCTAACATTTTACCAATATTGATATCACTTTTCCCTAGTTGTTAATCTCTCTTGGTCATACTCAGCTAGCTCTATTTGTACTGTTTCCTTCAAACAATTAGACCTTTTGCAAAGGAATTGAGATATTTTTCTGAGACTTTGTGATTTAGATACGAGTTTCAGGGTGGATTTTCTTAACAAAACAGTTTCCATTCTTTGAATCTTCTATGGAGGAGATACCCTGAATCCTTATTCACTTGATCATCATGAAATACTGAAGTGCCTATCTTATGACATTATACTTTGTATTTGTTTGTAAACTAGTAGTCTGCTAATTCTCTTGTAACAAACAGAAGGCAAGTTTGTTGAGTTCATCCTTTTAATGGTATGGACACCCTATGGAGTTGGTTGTTCTCTTTTTATGTCCACTTATATCTTCAGTGAAAAGAAAGTAAATTTGTTGATACAAGGCTTTATAATTTTGCAGAGATACCCCGGTAAAAGCATAGAGTGCTAGAGGATCTTCGAGAGTTCAAGGTGATGGATGCCTTGGTGGAGGCATCTGATATGATCAGATCTGTCCTATCTTTTCTTATCAATGGAGAAGGCGTACAAATTTTGCAGAGATGCTGGTGGTTTACAACTTCATGCCCCTGAGGCTTCTTTCTCCCTTTAAATTCAATTATAAGATTTTGGTATTTGTTTAAATTTTAGGTATAGTGATATATGTATAGGTTCCGTCATGAGTTCATTCATACAATGGAGCCTAGGCACTAGTTATTGAGGGCATGGCTGCAATTTGAGCATTGCTTTGTCAGTATTATATGGAAGATGGATTATTAACGAACACTTTTTTTTTAAAAAAAAAATCTTTTAAGCGAGCAATATATTAACTAACAATTTTATTTTATTATTTTTTTTTATTTGGAAAATGTTTTAGGTGCTTAGGGTACCAAAGGTTTTATAAAAGAGGCTTTTGTAATGAATCTCCCTTCTCTCAAGTTTTGTTAAGGATCCATGGTGCAACAAGGATTTACCCTTATTCTAGGCCTCTAGGGCATGTAAGCCAAATATGTAACAAATGTTCTCCCTCCTTTTCCAATTAAAGTTCTTGGTTCTTTTGGTCTTAAGTATTTATCGGAGAAAATGTGATGGGATTTGGTTTATAATGTGATGAGAAACTATGGTTTTATTGAGTAAAACTCAATTAAAAGGAAATTAGTGGGTTAGTTTAATTTTGGCTAGTTGAAGCCAAGTGGGGACATAACGAACAATGAGATCTTCAATTCCTCATGGGCTACACGACCATGAACAAAATGATAATCAATGTGTTTGCTATCATGTTGAATTAGATTACTTGTAAGATAAAGTAGAAGAGAAGGTTTATGCCTTACAATAATACCAAGCCTTATTAATAAGGATAAGATTATCTCTTTAAAAATGATATAGTTAGGAAGTAGAATGACAAAATATCACCCCAAAATCAGCAATTTGAATACACAAATTTTTATATGTGGCTGACCACATAATGTGGCCGGATACTCGAGGGGTTATTCGGTCAGGGGTTTTTTTTGAGGGATTACTCGGTCAGGAATAACTCAAGTAACCCTTGACCGAGTAACTCGAGTAACCCCGACCACAAGGTGTGGCCAGCGCCAGCCACACAGGAAAAATCTCCCATTTGAATATGCAAAATACCATTATCGGCCATTCGAATCCTTCTCCTCTAATTATAATGCTTTTATAAGATATATATGACCACAAATTAGATTTATATGGAGTATTGTCAAATTAACAACTTTTTTCTCTATTTAATAAAACAAAAAACGATATGTTTAAAAATCCAATGTATGGAAATATTAAGTAAAATTGGCTTTGTTCAGTTCAACTCATTCGAGTTGATAATTACTTATTTCACAAATGATTAATTAGAAGTGCAAGTGTAATGACATCTTATTTGATAACTTTTTATTTTACAGCAAATAGAGTCAAAGTTTGGTCAAAACATATCAAATCAAATCTAGCAGATCAGAAAAATACAAATTAGGTAAACAGATCATAGCATTTTTTATCCATTTCTTAATTAATACTTGTGTTTATTTTGAAAATGTATTCAGTTACGGAATAAATCCTTATATAATAAGGATTGCATATAGCATTATCCGAGAGATTATTATATACACCCGAGTACAAGGTGCACCCATGAATAGTTTGTTGTTTTGATATTTGTTTTTCATTTGATCATTAATTATTATATAAAGAGCAAACATTAATAGTTGGGTGCACGATCACCCGACTATATAAAAGTTTCAACATTATCTTATAACGAATTTAACATTACTCAAAAATTTTGTAAGATATTAAAAAAAAAATTAAGAAAATTGAAGAATATTGAATTAGACATACAGAGTAAAGCCAAAAGTTAGTTCCGATCTTAATTAAGAACGACAATTTCTATTATACAATCGAATATACACCCGAATATGAACAAACATTTCCAATTTGCCAGTCAGCAACCTCCTCAAAACATCCAAGCCCAACCATCGAAAAAGCCAGTTAACTCATTAGTCTTCTTCTCTTACATCCGCCATTGTTGATTCTCTCTCCTCCATTGACGCCATTTTCAAATCACCTCCAAAAGCTTGGAGAACGAAACGCAGCGAGAACGATGAGCGGTCACGATTCCAAGTACTTCTCCACTACGAAGAAGGGTGAAATCCCTGAACTCAAAGAAGAGCTCAATTCTCAGTATAAGGTTTTCTTTTTGCCACATCTATTCATTCTATTCGTTTTCTTACTAGTCATTTTCTTCGCTTAATTTCTCGAATTTCGAAGTTTTCGTCGCTAATCGGCGGAAATGTGTGCAGATCTGCTCGATTTTTGTTCGAAATCTGTGCTTGTTTAATCGATTTTTGTGTGATTGTTGAAGAGGTCGTGTAATTTTGGATTTGTTGTTGATGATTTAATACGGATCAGACATAGGGTTAGCTGTAGATTAGTGACAATGTAACTGCAGCTTCAATTTTTGATTTATCGAATTACATTGGTTCATTCTTTCTTTAGTTATAAAATTTGGTGGAATTCGATTATAATTGGATGTCTGATGAGTTGCAGTTATGAAATTGAGAAGTTTGGATGAAATTCGTGCTGGTGTTATATCTTTGTTCATCTAGGATTTGCAGAGTTACGCTGTGTATTGAAAATTAGGAAATGTATGAGTCCATTAGATGGAGCTATGTCATATGGAGGATTTTCAACTTTTCGTTGTTCAATTGGAATGTTTGCGATAATACGATAGGTTGCTGGGTTGGTTTAGAGATCACCGAGAAAGTGGTTTTTGCTGATCTCAGCCCTTTGGACTTTAGACTTGAGAAAAACATTTCGACATAGTTTTATAATACAAGCATAGTGCCTTACAAATTTTACAGATGGATTGATAGTGGGCTGAATTTAGAGTAGTTCTTACTGTTGTGGAGAATTTCAACCATATGTTGAGATGTAGTCTTCTATTTTTAGTTTTTACTATAATTTTAATGCAAATATGCAATCTTCATAAAGTTCGTGCCAGGCTTATTATTTGCACAGACATGCATCTTAGTTAGTAATGGAGACCTTAGCTGTTGAATTGATGATAGATCTCTTTTACAGTGAACTCTATTGAGTTTTGATTGACTGAAAAATTGGGAATGATTTATCCACAAAATAGAATAGGACAGGTTAGGCATAGAAGCTATGAAGGATATGAGTTTGGAATTGCATAAATCTCAAGATTTTATTCTAGGTTACTTCATTTTTTATGATGCTATTGATTTTAAACAATTGGTTTGTGAACTCGGAGTTTCAATCTTTGCACTTTTGCAGTATATAATGTTTCCTTCATCCATACCAATTCCAACTTTGTTCCATACCTTTAAATTAGGAAATTGGCATGATGTCACCTAAACAGAGAAGTGTGAGGAAGCGCAAGGCTGCTTCTTCATGTTCCTTAGCGTATGTCTCAATTTGATTTTTATGCCCTTAAAAACCTTCATCCAACAAAAAGAATTTCCCCAAGCAGTTATACAGTTTTTGTATAGTTGTGTATCCAATCCTCCTTCCACCATCCAATTCTTGAAGGGGTATCTAGAGAAATGCAATCATATTATAGTATTTTCAACTAGAGAGGGATATGTTAATATGTTTACTAAGCTTCTGATCAAGGAGCCTATCCCCGCTTAAAAGGGGAAAGAAGGAGATGAGTTGGAGAGATATTTTTGAATAGCAACTTTTCTACCTCATTACCTCAGAGTATCAGCCTATCAGGTGTCGCAGAGTTGCAGCTCAAGGGTCCAATACTCCTATTTGTTGTATTCTTTGTGGTTTTATTTTTCATTGAATTCACAGTTTGTGCCAATTATATATTATTTTCTTACTGCATTTTCATGTGGCTATCTTTTTTGTATATGCTTTTCACCTGCCTGTTATCATCTCTTTTTAGGATAAGAGGAAGGATGCTGTGAAAAAGGTTATTGCTGCAATGACTGTAGGCAAAGATGTGTCATCATTGTTCACTGATGTTGTGAACTGCATGCAAACAGAAAACTTGGAGTTGAAGAAACTAGTATACTTGTATCTTATTAATTATGCTAAAAGCCAACCGGACCTGGCAATTCTTGCAGTCAACACATTTGTTAAGGTATGGCGCAAATTCAAAATTGTATGCCCTCGATACATAATATTTCCTGGCTTCATTGTTAGATCTTGGCTCTTGACTTTTATTGTTGAATTATCCATCATTATGCTTTCAGCTCAACCTGTCTCAAAGTTGTCAGTTGATGAGGAGCTAATGGATATATATGTGGTAACTTATAGACAAATGCTTTTGCAGAAAAATTAAGAGAGTCAAATAAAGTGAACATGCATTTCTATGTGTTGATAGCATCGTATGATACATCTACACTGTCAATGGCTTATTCAACTTACTAGACTGAATAGCCCATATCACTTGAAGAAGCAATATCTTAAGCTTTGACTATTCTCAATCTGTCTAAAAAAAGTCCACTTGGATATTTGTGACTCACACCAAATGGGAATCTTTTGCAGAGGATGTAGTTTAAACGTTGTCACACAGAGCAACACCCTAATACCTATATGGTTTATGATGGAATCTCTACTTTGTAACCACGCCAAGCTTGAAGTTTCTAATGATATAACTGATTTCTGACTGATGAGGGATGTCAATATTTGCATGTCTAGGTTATCAAATAGTTTTGGATGTTTGATTAAACTTTTTGAAGATTTGTAAAGAAGGTTGTGGTTGGAAGGGAGTAAGTTCAAGTCACTGCTCAAGCAATAAAGCACACTTCCAGCCTTTCCAGGCTCACCTTTTGCAATATCTGTGTTATTTTAGATCATCTACCCTTTCCCATGGGGCTTATTTTTGCTTGCTTTCATCTTAACATGTGGCGGAGCCAAGATTTCAGGCTAGAGGGGATTTTTTTTTTTTTTTTTTCTTTTTTCTTTCTTTCTTTCCTTTTTTTTTTTTTTTCATATGGGGGCCAGAAATTAATCAAGTATCAAATTTTTGCACCATATTTGGTATATTTAAATTTTATAGTTTCAGTTTAATGATATCTGAAATTCTATGATGCTAATCAAATACATATGAAACTCCAGTTCAAAAGAAAAATAATTAACAGTCATAAAACCTAGAGTCCTAGACATACTTATGAGTTATGCTTTTGAAATATCAGGTTTGTCAAATTTAGATGTAGATTTTAGAAAACTCAATAGACCACCAGTGGTCTGTGCAGCAATTTATATCCAGTACTAAAGCTTTGAAGCTTTATTTTTATAAATAAGAGGAGTTTTTTTTTTTTATTTCTGATTATAATGAATGTTCTAATAAGGAGTATTCAGGTGTTGTTTGTAGCTATGGGCCTATTGCGCCAACTTTGTTATTAATGCTACAGGTTATTTATACAATTGAAAATATTCATGATTATAGGGGTGGCTCCTTATGTAACACTTTTTTATGAATTGTAATACCAGTTTTCCTCTTTAGCAATGCTGTGTGTTTCATTAACCATAATTATTTGCTGCTCTAGCTGATAATTTGCTGTTGTATCTCTGCAGGATTCACAGGACCCAAATCCTTTGATTCGGGCATTAGCAGTGAGAACAATGGGCTGCATTCGTGTTGATAAAATTACCGAGTATTTGTGTGATCCCCTTCAGAGGTG